CTGCTGAACAAGAACCACACGCAGCCGCCCCTTGATATAGTCCTCTCTCAGCACCAATTATTGAGGTTAAGAATACGATGGAGCCTCCTGAATTATAGTCCCGCATTTTCTTTCCAACAGCCTTCAGCAGAAACCATGGAGACATAAAATTTATTTTCACCATCTTTTTAAACTCACTTTCTGTTACTTGCAAAGGTTCTTGCATCTTTCATCTTTCCTATAGCACAAAATTCCAAGTAATAAATTCTCTTTCTTGTTTCCAAGCTCTAACTGCACTTCATAAATCTAACCATAACAAATTTATAAAACTGATAGTGTGATTGGAAATGAAAAAATAAAAACAAAAATGTGCACTTAAGCATCACATTTGCTATCCTGGAATCATTTCCACTCCAATAAAGAAGCCACTATTTATGTAGCACTGAAATAGGCAAAGAAGAGAGTCCCAAAGGCAGAGCCTGGAAGTTAAGCTACCTACTTCTAACAAATTACAGGATGGAGAGGGTTACAAGAGCAGGCCTACTAATGCAAGAAAAACATGCTATAAAGGAGAATAAACATTTGATAATTTCTCAAATTGCATATTTTTTAGGAGATACTAAACATGCATTCCCAGTAAAAATATAAAGCAAGAAACAACAAAACTCTGCAAAATATGAAGCAATTGTTTATAACAGTCCAAGCACAATACAAAGATCATACACAAAATTCTCACAAACACACCAGGACTCTCATTGCCTGTAACTCTTATATGGAAAGTGGAGCGCCCATCTTACAAACACATGCATAGAACACCCCTCCCAACTCAACTCCCATACATGTAGGTCTCATATGGACATATGAACTAAGCATTCTGTACTAACATAAGTTTGTGACAAAAATTTGGTTCCCAAGGCACAGCTGGATGTGAAGATAATATAAAACTTTGTCCAAAGAGGTTCTCAATCAATTTGCAGCAACTTGGTTAAATTGTTGAATTTACAGAGTCACCACTGGCTATAGGGAGCAAGTTCAACCAAAACCTGTCTTGACTTTGTAGAGTTGGTGTCACCACCAATGACATTAGAGATTGAGCCAACCATGAAGCCAAATTGCATACGATAGTATGAGAGCCAATTAGACTAGAAGTGTACACTTCCTCCACCAGTTGTGTCTTGTAACTAACATTTTTTTAAATATTAGAGATGACTGGCAAAGGTGGGACTTGAAGTCGAGACCTCATTCCTTTTACTTGGTAATAGTAGCACTGAGCTATAAGCCAATTGCTGTGACCAACACTATGAGAGAGCACTTTAAGAGTAATTATTCACTGCTCCACAAGCAATACTCATCCACTCACATGAAAGTGGGTTCTGTAGATGGCTACCATGGTGCGTCCCATGTTTATGTGAGTGGACGAGTGATACATCGTTATTATCTAATAATTTCCCGCACTTTGGACACTATATACTAGCATAACTTGCATAAGAATGCTCCAAATATGAATGCTACATTACATATGTAAGTGTGTTCCTTTGTGCATTATGGATGAGGAGTGATGAGAAAATTAAGCAAGCTTGTGTTCAACTTTGCATGAGTTACTGGTAGAATTTGCCAGCAATTTGTCATTTCTAGATTTTCGCCATGCAAAGTGCCTGTATTTTCCCAAATATAAGAAGTGTGTCTAGCAGCTTATTGCTCCACCCTTGTATTTCTCATGCTTCAAACTCATTGTAACGGTCATTGCTGCCACCCTGAATAATGACTATCCTACTTATGACTTGTGACTATTCTAGATACCAAAACTACGGCCATGACCATAGATCTGTACATGTCTACCGCATGCAAAGTTGAAGAATCTCACATCGATCTTCCAGCTCAAAGAGAAAACCACATAGATCTAATTAAATTAATGGCAAGGGAAAAGGAAACCACTGCTCCAATTCAATTCTGGAAAATGTTTGTTCCTTTCTAAACATTATGACTCATGTACTTATATTCCTCTTCAACTTCTGAATAAATTAATTGAATGATTATTGCGCCACCAAAATAGCAGGCTGAGTGATGCAAAAAATTGTAGTCTGTATATTGTTCAGCTTGATTCTCCAATGTTTGAGTGTAATCATTCTGCTCTAAAGTCCTTTCCAACGTTGCCATTAATCTTTGTCAGTTCCTTTAAGAACTGGACATAATCCAATAAACACTTTAGGTTCAAAAGAGAACAGGACATGAGTTTCGGTATTGTTTCACCAGTACTTTTAGAATCCATTTAGTATTGAGTTGCAGTTGCATTCAAAGTGACTGGAAGAAAGAAGAAACGGTCCAAAATCTGCTTGACTTTTGGTGATGAATCAAAACTAAAATCTATTTTCAAAGGCAGGTTTAACCAAAAGAAATCCAGTTTAATAAACAAAATTTAATGAAACAGTCCAATACCAACTAGTGACTTAGTATTTTAGCTATGGGCGATTACAATAAAGTTCCAAATTATTGTCACAGTCAAATATCATTCAACAACCAAAAAAAAAAAAAAATGTAGTCAATCACTTCAATCATGAATGATGACGGAACAAAAAATAAAACTTACAACCTTTAAATTAAAAAACTCCACAAGTAACACCCAGAAAACTATATTATGGTTCAAATTCTATCTAGTGGAATAGGAAATTCTATGGAAGCAAAGATTAGACTAGACCAAGACCCAATACCCAGTTTATCAACCAACCAAGATAAAAGTATTATCTACAGTGTGGATAAAGTAAGAGAGAAAGAGAGAGAGAAAATTACCTTCATATGTATAGCAAAGCACAAAAGCATCTAAATTTCCCAAAATTACACATGCCTTATCCACTGCTTCATCAAAACTTGCCTCCCTTTCCTCTTCCATATCCATTTCAACTGCCTCCACTGGAAAAGCACCTTTGACTGCACCTGTTATCTTCTCGCCGATACTCCTTAAAACCTTCTCATTTCCCATCGAAACCAATCTGATCATACATCGCCAAATAACATATTATTCAATAAAACAATATGGTTGACTAAAATAAAGAACACAAACATCTTAAACATTAACTTTCAGTATTTTCCTAAGAATAAAAAGTCCTTCCTCTGCTTTTGTAAGCGTAATAAAAAAATCAACTGTCAATTGTAGCCCGCAAAGATTCCATTTTTGTTGAAAGAACAAATGAAAAGATTTCTTGAAAGGAACTATTAGTACTTTGGATTTCATGAAGGAAAAAGAATAATAAACGTAAGAAAGTAAAATTCAAAGATTGAAACCATCATTTGGTAACATTCCCTTTGGTTTCCAAACTATTAAACATGAAAGAAAGAACGAAACATATTCTTAACCTGCATCCTTGTTTAACCAAATGAAAGGCATTATTCTGTGAAATCTCATCTCCGTTTGAAGTAAGCAACACTTTATTTGCCCCACTTCCCATTCTCCAATCCAAACTTGAATTTCAAAAGAAATCATGTCAATTAAAACAACAACAAAATAAGTAATCATCCAAAATACACATAATTCACGTTAAAAAGAAAGAAAAGAATTCTCTACCACAGAGATGATGGTACCTGACACAAAACTAATTGAATGAAGTGAAAGACAAAAGAGAGATGTCTCGTAAAATGAATGAATGCTAGAGCTGTGTCTGTCCGTCACGAGTGGAGTTGCCTTCTTTTTATTTCGGTTCTGTGCTGTGTGTCTCAGCAAAATTCGGCTATTCTTCATTTTTATTAGATTTATAAAAGACAGAAACCATCCTTCTCACCATCTTGAGATAAATAAGGGGTGCTTTCATTTTTATTTTTATTTTTCTGATTCTAATACAATTTTCGTACTAGTTTATATATATTTTTGATTAATTATATAAATTTTAACTACCTTCAAAAAAAAAAAAACCAAACTCATAATTATTAAAAACCAAACCCGAAACTTCATTATTAAAAACCAAACCAGAAACCAGATAGTTAAGCTAATTCTCAATGTTTAAATAATGGGTGTCTTGTTTTTAGATTAACATAGGTATTCGGGTCAGCTTGCACGCACCACGACTAATTTGACGGACCCTGAAGTTAACGACCATGTAAGTCTCTAGTGGCCATTATATAAGCAACCAAGAACTCGAACATAAGATTATAGAGGGAACAAACCTCTTGATCCCAAATCCTTATCACTTACTACAACTTAAATGGTTAAATAATAAATATCTTATTTGCACGTGCAGTGGATGATCATGTCACGTGATTTGGCACCGCCTCAACATCCACTAGCGCGGCGCTATTGCCGAGTGGAGGGACCTCGTTAATTTATTTTAATAATGCTGGGAAATCCTAGTGAATTACTTGATGAATAAAGCACAAACCTTTAAAAAGTCGTCCTTCATTGAGTTCCCAAAAAGAGATTATCTCCTTTGAGGTTTTTTATCTATACTCTTCACAAGTTTTTGAAATTTCATTTTTTCTTCTAAATGATGCCGTTTTTACTTTTATGAAAAAGTAGTCTTCAACTTGGAATATGTCTGTGTTTGATTTTCTTCTCGCAAAGAAAATAAAACAAAGAAATGTGTCGGTGTTAGATTTTTTTTCTCGAGAAAGAGACGGGGGACTCCATTGAAGATTAACCAAACCTTTAGAGACCTAATTGAGACTAAATATTATAGGGGACTCCATGGAAGATTAACCAAAACATTAGAGACCTAATTGAGACTAAATATTATTTGAAAACTTAATTTAGATTAAAACTTTTCATAATGTTTTTAGTTTGAAAATATATTGAAATATTTTTTATTTTAAAAAATTATTTTAAATCATCTAAAATTATAAAACAATAATTTTAAATAAAAAATAAATGTTTGTAAAATACATTTAAAACATAACTTCAGGAAAAAAAAAACTTAAGCCCAGGAAACTTTTGGAGGTTTGTCCTTTAAATTACAACAACAAGGGAATGTGAATGTTTGTACTTTAAATTATAACAACAAATATCTAGTTTAGCAAATATCTAATTTATTACTTTAAATTCAAGCTCCAAAAATAATTAATAGAATGTCAAAACTATATAATTAATTGTATTAAAATCTTAATAAATTAATTTTAAAAAATATAACTTAACTGGTCAGACTTTAAGTTTATTTTCATGAGATTATCAATTCGAGTATCATAAACATCAAGGTTATTAGAAACTTATTTGGTTGTTAATTTTAAGGCTTCAATAGATTAATTAAGGTGTATAAGCTGGCGTGAATAGTGACAGTTATTAAAAATAAAAAATTATTACATTTTTATTACCCTATATTTATGTTTATTGGCACTAAAAAAAGGTAATTATCGGATAAGAAATGAATAGCGTTGAAGATAGAGTGACATTCCTCAAAGAGAAATATGAGCGAAGATAGAGTGACATTCCTCAAAGAGAAATATGTGCACAACATCAATCATGAATGATGGATGATCGATTTATAATTTAGAAATAACTTAGTTGAAGATTAAGAGACAAGCATTTAAATATGGTCAAATTAACTATATGCGATCCATTTTACAAATAGGATTGTTTCTACTAGCTAGAAGTAGAATTCATCTCTCATTTCTCAACGGTAGCTTCTAACCCTAACTTTATAATAGGTCATCAAATCCACACCAAGCACAAATACATCACCCAATTTTCTTTCTTTTTTTTCTTTTTGTTAGACAACTCAAATCACCAACAATCATTAATATTTGTTGCCCAACATAGAGATACACAAATAAAGTAGGAACATGTCAAAACACATATGCATTGCCCAACATAGGAATACACAAATTTTTTTAAAACAATAAAAAATCAATGGTTCTAAGATATTGTTACAAAAATTTAGAATTATTTAAGATTCATACAAAGGTTATTTAGATCAAATATTATTTATGATCTTAAATAATTACTCTAAGGTTAGATTATTATAAAGCAAAAGGCATAAGTTATCTAAGTATTTGACCTTTTCTTTTAGAAGAGAGGGACTACTATGTCTTTAAGTGCTAGCTGATTAGTACTTAAAAGTGCATTTTTATCATAGTTTTATATCATCATTTTGCACTTGAAGTATCAATAACTCCTTAACTAAAACATGTTTTATAATAATATATCTAATAATATAAGATACCTTTAATTTATGGTAAATGTTCATTTTAAATGCAGGCCTATCACATAAATGAAAATATTGATTGATGACTTTAAGAACTTAAATTGCAAAGGCAAAGAGATGACCAAACTTAGAGATAAAGAGATGGTCAAACTTAGAAAAGAGATGTCGGTGCAATCCAAACCGGAACACTGTTCGGTAATTGGGTCATATCTGGAGCTATATATCTTAGATTTAGGTCCCATTTATATGGATGGAAAGGTAAGACATAGGCCTACAACTTTCATATGGAGCCCAAGATCTAAAAAGGCCATTATCAAGTCCAAATTGTAGCAACAACAAAGAAGCCCGAATCTATCTTCCAGCCCAAGCACTGTTCGGTATTTTGGCCATATTTGGAGTTCTAGAAGTCCAAATCAGCTGAATTTTTTACACAAGAAATCTGAGAAAATTACCTACAACTTTCATGTTTGCAACTGGCTCCAATTATGACGTTATCAATGACGTTTTGGGTAGACAAGAGAAGATAAGGATTGTCACCAAGTCAAAAGTTGGCCACCCACTTATCAATTAGTCATCAAATCAATAGTTCCCAATTATGGCCTATAAAAGGATGCATTTGCCATTCATTTCGGCATCTTGGTGTCCAGATCAAGATCATGCTCTTCCTTTCTCTCTTTGTATTTTTTGTAATGGTTATGCTTTGCTTTCATTAATATTAAGTTTATGCCTTTCATTTCCTTTCCTTTACTTAGTTAACTTTTATGTTCTTATTTGGTTTATCTATTTTGCTTTCTTTCATTATGTCTAGCTAAGTTAGTTATGTCAAGGTGAAAAGGTTACACTAATGGTGTAAGAATAAGTATAATGTAAACTTAATATGGACTTTAATGTTTGATACTAACATGTTTTATATTTGTTATCTTGTTCACTCTTTAATACTTTGCTTGTTAAATGACTAATCTTGATTTATGTTGTATAACACTTGGTACAACAAATGCTTGGCACTTTCATAGCCCATAATGTATGGTATAACCGACACCTGAGCTATGAAAGGAACTTGATTTATTGTTAACATAAGTTATAATCATGAATGCTTGACGAGATTTACAAGTATTAGCATTAATTGAATAAGATGACTAATGTAATCATGTTAACAATATATAATATGATTGGAACCTCCTTTGTGTGTGGTTTCCATTTCAATAATAAGAGTTCATACTATACTTGTTTGATATACCATTAGTGGAACCTCTAACCTTGACATTTGTTATTATTATTGTTTAATCCTTACATTAATTTTCCATCTCCAAGTTCTCATCATCTTCTTCTTCTTCTCTTTCTTTATTATTATTACTACTACTACTACTACTATTATTATTATTATTATTATTATTATTATTATAGTTGTTGTTGTTATTGTTATTGTTGTTGTTATTATTGCTATTATTGTTGTTTATAATTGTTGTTTATAATTTGTACAATTAACCTCCCTGTGGTTCGACCCCGGTCTTGCCGGGTTATTTATTACTTCGACACTCCTGCACTTGGGAGAAGACATCAATCTTTTAGTCGCACTCCTGCACGTGGGAGAAGACATTAATCTTTTCGTCGTGTCACTAGTGCCTAAAACTAATCACAAGATCAAACATGTTATCTCTTACAATTTTTTTTTTTGTATTTTTTAAGTGTTATGTATTGCATACTATTGTATTGTACAAAAAATAAAAGGCATGTCATTCTATTTATAAAGAAACATGATAACTCTATAAATGACGAAATCATTGATTTTTTTAATAAGATTTGAAACTTTTTCCAAATCTCATTCCACCTTACGCAAGTGATTAGTACTTAAAAATGCGTTTTTATCAAGGTTTTATATCATTATTTTGCACACGAAGTATCAATAACTCCTTAACTAAAGCATGTTTTATAATAACGTATCTAAAAATATAAGATACCTTTAATTTGTGGTAAATGTTCATTTTAAATGCAGGCCTATCACATAAATGAAAGAATTGATTGATGAATTTAAGAACTGAAATTAAAAGGACAAAGAGATGGCCAAACTTAGAAAAGAGATGTTGGTGCAATCCAAACCGGAACACTGTTCGGTAATTGGGTCATATATGGAGCTGTAGATCTCAGATTTAGGTCTACTTTATATGGATGGTGACACGACGAAAAGATTGATGTCTTCTCCCAAGTGCAGGAGTGTCGAAGTAATAAATAACCCGGCAAGACCGGGGTCGAACCACAGGGAGGTTATTTGTACAAATTATAAATAACAATAATAAAACAACAATAACAACAACAACAATAGTAATAATAATAATAATAATA